CAGAGTATTTGTAATGGCTTAAAGTATGGCATGCAGGTAAGACGGAGCATGACCGGCCGGCAGTACTGCGGATAAATCAACCGCATCCCCATCCAGTAATTGCAGTGAGTGAATGTAGTGGCAAGTGGCCGGGTACCAATGCAGCGTCTGTTTACCGATCCACCGGTGCCCGCACCCGATAAAAATTGCTGGATTTTTATCTAGACTGCCACTAAGTAGACTCCTAGCGAGGGCCTTTTTCCAGTTCCCCGGCAGCGCATTGGTGCAACAGCCACGGTGATCATCCGTCTACGGGCGATTGGTTTGCTTGCCCCTCCAATCACCATCCCACCTCCCCTGAGTCAGGGAATGTAAGATAGTGAGATCTAAATCGATTATTGGTTGATTGTAAAGTCTCCAGAGGAAAAGAGATCGGAAGTCTCACACAGTTCAGCTCCCAGCGGCACAAAGTGGATGGTGCACTGGTGGGATTTTTTCCTGCCGATGGGGTCCGTCTTGACTGAAAACGGAACGGTTGGAGTTTGATTCCCTACCGCCTAAACCCGGAACGGCGACCGCAGCCCTTCAATCCGACCCAATGCTGAGGATCCCTGCAATGGATTGGTTGGAACAAGAGAAAGTGCTCCACAATTGTGCACATCTCGGCCGGGGTGGTTGCCGCAGTTGGCCAATTTAGGTAGAGGAGACTCCAGCTGGCTGCATCTTCTTTTCGTTGCATTTATGCGCTCGACCCACTCCTATGGTGACAGCAAAGGCCTGCTGAATGAAAATTGTAAATAGAATTTTTGGGGAGGATGGAACACAAGCCGAACTGTGATGGGGTACCATTCGTTACGATGACGAGATGGAGGGGGAAAACTTTTATTTTTTGTTCTTTCTTTTGATCTTATTTTTTCTCACTTTATTGGCAGGAAATACAGACAAAGGAGAGTCAGAAAAAAGATAAACAGCAATCAAAAGGAAACATGGGGGAGAATAGATGGATCTCATAGAAAAAGAAAGGTAAATAGCAAACAAAGGACAGGTGCGGGAAAATCCAGCGGGAGTTGCTGGGCCAAAAAAGCAGTTGCTGAACCCGACCGTCTGGGTCGCGAGGTTCCTGCGCCGGGTTGATCGCCTCCTGATCCGTGACGCTACGACCAAAGGAAGGAAAGAGGGAAAAGAGAGCAGGGCAAGCCCCCGGAGGGTTGGCCAGCTAAGCCCATTAGCCCAATCCTTCTGCTCCCCAAATCCCAGGAATTTGCCGGGGCTTGCTGGCACTGCTGGGGACTGGCTCCCTCTCTAACCTCCCCCCGGAGATCCGTGGGCTGGCTTGCCTTTTCCCTTCAACTTGCGTTCTATGGAAATCCTTCCAGCAGCAGACAACTGACTCCATACTTTAAGATTGGAATAGTATGTTTCCCTGGATATACTATAATTGATTATTGTTTATCATATTTCATTGTATGAAATCGACAAGACCAGTGCCCGTAGGAGAGTATCTAGTAGTAATAAGTAGCTACTCATAGGCGACCAGACGTAGAAACCGCAAATGAGCTCATCTCCTCCCAAACTTAAGGTTCTGGACCTCGAGAGCTGCCCGTGACTCGCTCACCTTCTGCTTTCGTCCCCTCCTCGGCTGCTCCAATCTTTTCTGCTGTCCGCACCAACTCTCCGTCTTCCCTCTTCACTTTCAGCCTGCCCTCTTTCGCAACCCCGCCTTTTTTTTTCTTCTCTTCCTCCTCCTCCCTCCAGTCTATCTTCTGGTCTGTCTTGTTCTAGCTTCGGGTTGGCTTGCAGCTTCATAGCCGCCAATCATTTAGCACTGCGGGTTCCTGTCCTTGTGCTACCTCCCAGGATAAAGCGGTCATCATTGAGGAACCTGTGGTCCTGCGGCCGATCCGTGGAAGGCTCAGTGATTCTCCCGCATTTTGACAGCTCGTCGCTGCGCCTTACCCAGAGTTCAATCCTCACTTCACGAGCTTCACGTCTACACTGTGCACTATCCGCCGAACGACGCGTGTACATTCATCCGGTTCCCATTTGCAGGACTGCCATAGGAGCCTGTGTCGTTGCCCGAATCTAGACTCGTGATAGATTGGGTTTGCCTGTCGCGAGTCTTGTTGCTGCAATTTCGGGTATTCACCCCGCCACTACTTCCTCGACTTTCGCCTTCTTCAACGTGATGAGCGTCATGTACGCTCTGGACGATCGCACACATACCGCACCGCCTCCCCCGCCGCCGCTCTCGATGGATCGTATTCCACCCCCCTCCTCCTCATACCCCACTCCGGGCTCTGCAGGCGTCGCGTCTGCCGGCGGGATACCGCCGTCGAGCCATCTAGCGCCGCTCTCCACCGTTCATGAAAATCGCATTTGGTCTTTGCAGGTGGTTCAGCAGCCGGTTCGCGCCCGGATGTGTGGCTTCGGCGATAAGGTTGGTCTTGCTGTGCCGTCCTTGAACTGCTCTTTTTCCCGCCTTTTTAGAGGTAGCTGACTGTAGCTCAGGATCGCCGGCCAATTACACCTCCTCCCTGCATTCGCCTGGTTGTCCGAGATGCTCAAACTGAAAAGGAGATTGACATTAAGTATGACGGTGTCAAATATCGCTCTGCCGAGGATCGGTGCTGACCGGCCATTCTAGTGAGATCGATACGTCCTTCTACGTGCTCATGGTCGACCTGTGGAACGCGGAGGGGACCAGCGAGGTAAACCTCGTCAAGCACTCCGCCACTTCTCCCTCGATATCGACGGCCATGTCCTCCTCATACCCCCCTCCGCCGCATAGTGTCTCGCCTTCCTACCCGCCCTACGCGCAGAATGCCTACGGCCAGCCTGTTGGATACCCTCAGATGAACAATTACTACGGTGGCAACCCCCAACTACAGTACCAGAACCCGTATGGAGCGAATCCACAAGCACCCTATTACCAGCCTTACTATGGCGGCGGTCACATGCCGCAGGCCAACATTTCCCCGGCGCAGCCTGTGGCCTCTGGCCCTGGCGGCATGTTCACGCGGAACCTCATCGGCAGTCTCAGCGCCAGCGCGTTCCGCTTGACCGACCCGGAAAACAAGATCGGAGTGTGGTTTATCCTGCAGGACCTGAGTGTCCGCACAGAGGGCTCTTTCCGGTGAGTGCAGTTCTCTGAGCTGGTCGCGTTTGGTGAGGTACTGATTTATTCCTGCAGTCTGAAAATGAGCTTTGTGAATGTGGGCAGCCAGTCCGGCGATTCCCCCAACGGGGTATCTGTGATCAACCACGGCTCTGCGCCAGTGTTGGCCTCTGTGTTCTCGGAGCCATTCCACGTGTTTTCGGCCAAGAAGTTCCCCGGTGTCATTGAGAGTACACCGCTGAGCAAATGCTTCGCCCTCCAAGGGATTAAGATTCCCATCCGCAAGGACGGAGTGAAGGGATCTCGCGGGCGCCACAGCGACGGAGACGACGCCGGGGATGATTACGACTAAACCAGGGTTATTTGCTAATTCGGGATACCAATGGGCGATGTTTTGTGTTTTTGGTTGCTTTTCGCTCACGTTCTTATATATATACGGGTCAGGTTGGACGCGGGGTTTGGTTCTGCGGTGTTGGTGATGGGCTCTTTCAAACAGGATGGGGGTGTATTGTTACTATCTGGGCCGGTGTCACAGGGTTCTTCGGGTTCTCCTGAATCTTTTTCTCTTCTTGCTACGTGATTTCGATTAATGCTGCCTTGCTTTCGATTCGTGTGACTTGCTTTATACGAAGTGATGGTTTCGCGCCTGGTTCTACGGTTCCCGCGCACAACGGTTAGAGGCGAAAATGATCTCATCTTATGGGGACTGTACTGTATTGCATTACCCTAGGAGAATGTATGAATGATAGCCTGATAGCAGTAATCCATTGCTTTTGTGCTCTGTTCGCAAGTCCATCAACTCCGACTAGGTTAAAGTTCTGTCCGGACAAGCGCAGAGACTCGACTAGAACTCGACCGGACGAACCATCGTTCAACCGAGACCAGGTCGCCTCTTCCAGCTCGTATTGACTGTGGCGGTGCGCAACGTCGACGATGACGTCGATCGGCCAGGTGCTTCCATGGGAGAAGTGGCGGGCGTCGGAAAAAGGCCGCTTCGAAGCTCAATCTTCAGCAGAAAACCTTTGCAAGGGATGATGCAGGGTTTGAAGTAAGTAAGATCGGGCTTGTCCGACCGACTAAAAAAAGAGAACGAGGGAGAGAGCGAGAGAGTAAGTCAGTCAGAATTGGGGCATCGGATCTTCGGGTTCCGGGACCCTGACTACTTACTTTGTACCTAGTAAACTGCTAGTTTACTGGACGGACCTTGTTTTTCCCTAAACTTCTGGCATTGATTGGAGATGATCGTCGTTCTATAATTAAACGGTCGCCAACGGGGCCCATCATCAATCTTTTCCCTTCCTTCTACTCTGTTTCCTTCCCTTGCCGTGTCTCGGAGCAACAACTGAGACAGGTCGTTTAAACCGGCACGTCATGAGCTCATGGATTCCCCAGTTTTTTTCCTTCAATTGAGCCACTCTGCATGACTGATGAGGGTCTTCGTCTCCATGCGGTTTCACTTTAGTGCACTGGACTAGCAGATAGTAAGTGGGAGACCTCTTCTGATAGGTTTAGGGTCTATTATTCTCTGACGGCTCGTGCCGCTTCTTCCTTGCGGTTTCTGGGCTGTGTGGCAGGGTTGAGATGGGGATGACTGCTGGAGGCGATGTTGTTGCTATCCATAGTGCACCGTAGTGCCTTCGTATGTGTTTCTTGTGATGGAGGAGGCCCTTGCTCGACTGACCACTCTGATTATTTTTCCTTTGGAGCTCACTCCACTTAGTTTCTCTAATAGTAACCGGTTGACCTCATAGTCTGTTCATCGTAGGATATAAATACGGCTTCACATCCTGCTTCCTCAGTCTTTAGTATTCACACAAGACATTCGTTCTCAACCACTTGATTGATAACTTTCATACATCCACCATACTATCTATCTCTAATCACTATCATCTTTAATACCGTCAAAATGAAGTTCACCCTCGCTTCCACCCTCCTCCCCCTCCTGGCCGCCGCTGCCCCCGCCCAGCAGCGCGACTCCAACTCTTCTACTCCCTCTACCTTCGGCATCATGTCCGCCCGCTCTGGCTCCCCCATCCACCTCCTCCCTTTGAACGCCAACAGCGGTGGTTTCTACCTGGGCGGAAACACCTCTTCTTACTGCCCTATCTCTTCCGGCTGCCCCGCTGGTACTGAGACCGTTTTTGCTGGTGATGGCTCTTCTTTGGTAAGTCCCATGTCCACACCCATCCTCTCTCACCCTGACCCGATTCCCTCCCCACCCCAACCCCTATACATAGTATAAAATATATACTAATGAAATAATAAATAAACAGGACGTCGAAGTCCCCGGCGGCCAACAAGTCTACGTCGCCCCCAGCGGTGCCCTGACCTTCACCGTCCCCCACTCGGCCTACATCCCCGCGGGCTCTTCCACCGGCCCCTTCAAGTACACCCCCGGCAAGCCCTTCGGCACCTGGACTTTCACCGGTGCCGGTGCCACGGGCTTCATGGCTTGCCCGGACGAGGGTAACAAGTGGCAGGTGTTCGCTGCTACTAAGAATGCTACCGTGCCTAGTGGCAATGTTCAGGATTGTCTGGGCTTTGATGCCCTGGCTGTTGCTACTAATGGTTCGGTTGCTGCTTGGGAGTACATTTAAATGACTACTTGGTAGTGGTAGTGTGCTAGTATGCTAGTGGGATACTAGAAGAGGGATGGAATAGATAGTTGTGGTGTGTATAGAGTGGAATAGTAGGGTTTGTGGTTGTGGTTGTGTTTATAATGGTTGTTTTGTATATGTATGTTTGTATGTTAATGCCATTAATGATTTGTTGATGTTGTGATTGGGATTATTGTAATATCTATTTGGTGGGAGTATGCTGGGAGTATAGTTGTTATTGTTATTATGATATTGTCAGTCATAACAGTGTCATGCGTTCTATAGTATAGTACGAAGTAAAGTGGTAGGTTAATTCCTCCATATCCGCACCGCCTTGTCCTTCCCCCCACTTCCCACCTTCTGTCCATCCGGACTCCAATCTACCGCAAACACCTCGTCCTTGTGGCCTGGCAGATCCTCTTGCAACTTGCCCGTCCGTACATTCCATACCTTCAGGGTTGTGTCTTTGGACGACGAAACTAGCAGCCGGGAATCAGCCGAGAAGCAGCACTGGTACACGGCGCCCACGTGGCCGCGGAGTGTCGTGATGAATCTATTGTCTATTAGTAATTGTATATCATTTTTGAGACAGTGGTAAACTCACTTTCCGTCACGCGCGTTCCATAGCTTAACGTGGTTGTCGAAGCCCGCCGACGCAATGTACGCCATGTCCGGCGAGAACGTCACATGGTTCACCTCCTTCTGGTGTCCCAGCAGTCGCGCAACGGGCTTGCTGGAATTCCCAGGTTCCCACAGGTACATGGTGAAGTCGTCACTCGCGGACACAAGCTTCTCGACAATCTTGTTGTTGATGGTCGCTGCCTGCTCGAACCGCTGCTTGGCTGCCGCGATCTTCTCGGCATCCGCCTGCGGCACCTTGCCGGTGTGGTCGTGGTAGGCAGTGCGGAGGACAAAGTCGGTAGACAGAGCCAGGTGATTGACGCGGTGGGCGTGCGCAGAGAGAGTCTGGAGCAGGGTGCCGTTCTGAGCATTCCACACCTTGATAGTCTTGTCGTGAGATGCAGTGTAGATATTTCCGGTTCCGCCCCAGCGGACACAGGTCACTGAGCCCTTGTGCCCGGTGAGGACGGTGTCGATGCGCTTCGAGACCACATCCCATATGCGGACCGTTGAGTCCTTGGATGCGGACGCCAGGCGCGGCCGGCCGGGCTGCTGAAGATGGTAGGGTTCCCAGGCCAGACTGGTGATCCATTTGGCGTGTCCCTTCAAGGGCGCACCCAATGGGGTGCCCTTCTTTGCGTCCCAGAAGCGCACAGTGTTGTCCATGCTTCCCGTCGCAATCATGGCGCCGTTAGGCGAGTAGCTGACCGCCAGCACCCAGCTGGTATGTCCCTTCAAGGTGTGCAGAGGCGTTCCAGTGTCGCAATCCCAGACGCGAGCTGTGGAGTCACCGCTGCCGGTGACCATTGTGGATGAGTTGACAGGGGAGAAGCTGGTCGCAAGAATTGCTTCGCCGTGTCCGGCGATCGAGGCGGAGCATCGCGAGACGGCCTTGACGCGGAACACAGCCTGGGGAGTGAAGTAAAGATGTACAGTATCTTCGGTCGTCTTCAAGCCGGGCTTCAAGAGGGAGTGATACAAGTCGGAGAGGATATCGATTGTCTGGTCGTTCTTGTCTTTGCCATCGGATTGATATGTGAACCGGTACGGTACTCGCTCATCTTCTTCCTGCGGCGCAAAAATCAATTAATCTCTGTATATGTTGAACAATGCCTCGCTGCATACCTACATTGCCTTGTAACGTATTCAACAGAGTCTCGAGATTCTTCACACTGGCATCAGCGACTGGAACGGACACCGCCGGCCCGGTCGCAGATCCCGTCGCCTGGTCGAAGAATTGCACACGAATGCTACCCAAATTCTCTGGGATACTCTGGATCTCCTGCTGCTGACGGGCCCGCTCAGCGGTCTCCGTCCTCTGACGCTTCGACGGGGGAGGTAGAAGAGTCGCCATTGTGCCGCTCTTTGTTGGATGGTTTTTGTCGTTGAAGATTTTCGCCGAAAAAAAGATAAAAGATAGCCGTCGCTATCGCGGGGAGTCTATCGCCGCTAGTCCGCTTTCGGACGGCAGCTCTACTATATCCTGCATCATTCTCTACCATATCCTGCTGCTCTCTTCCTGACCACCAATATGCAAAATGTCGGCTTCATTTGTTCGGAGTTCTTCCATTGGGGCTGCTAGCTCTGTTGCTCCCTTTTCCAGAACCAGCACATTCCCCAGAACTACGCCGAGGCCGACGACAACGGCAACAAGCGTTGCATCCCAGGACATCATCTGTGCCGTTAGTGAGTCCAGAGGCATATCCTCAACGGTTGGTCTTGCTTTTGTCAATCTAGCTACTGCAGAGACAGTTCTGTGTCAGATATGTGATAGCCAGACGTACGTTAAAACGGTCACGAAGATCGGGGTATTCGAACCGACTGAGATACTGTTCGCAACCTCTGCCAAAGAATCCAAATTGTTCTACATCATACAAGAGAATATCCAAGATACTACGTTTACCTTTATAGATCGCAGGTTCTGGTCGGAGAGAGCTGGCCATGATTATGTAGACCGACTCGCCTTCTCCGGGGATGTCGAACCCATCAAGATCGTCCTAGGAGGGAACTATTATGCTGCTTGCTGCTTTGCTGCGGTGAGCACTACAACCGTCTGGCTGACCCGGCTAATTACTGTAGGTCTTAAAGTATGTCGAGCTGGAGCTGAATAGAACCTTTACTTGTCATTCGCTTCGTATTAGGTTTGAGCCTTCTCAAGGGTCCATGTCAATTGATCTATCCACCATTGTCTCCTTGGAGTTGATACAGAACATACACAACGCGAAATCGAAGGATAGTCTGTACGGACTGCTCAATGAGACCCTGACCCCTATGGGTGCAAGGCTTCTCAGAGCCAACATCCTTCAGCCTTCAACAGAAGAACCCAAGCTGCAAGCACGATACGACGCTGTCGAGGATCTGTCTACAAAGGAAGACATGTTTGTCTCGGTGAGACAAGGTTCGCCTATATGCCCGCTGTATACAACCGTAGTCTGACCATACCAAACGTAGCTCTCAAAGGCTTTGTTGATGCGGACAAGGTCCTTACTTCTGTACGTGGATTCGATCGTTTCTGATAGCCTGGCTGACAATCCAGCTTATTCTTGTGCCCAATAAACGAGCCTTCCAATACGTTGAACAGTCTGTCAACAATGTTATAATGGTCAAGACATATGTTGGGGCAATCAACTCGGTTTACAAGGCACTTACGGCAGCTCAGAGCAGTCTTTTAACAACCATAAGAGAAGTAATTATGTGCTGGCACTGTCCTAATATAGCTAACAACTATACAGCTATGTGCCCCGGCAGGCCACCGGGCTGTTCAGCAGATGATTGAAGAAACTCTCAACGAGCATGTTACATACCAAACCCGGCCACTTGATCTCCGAAACCAGCGCATCTACTGTGTCCGGGTAAGTCCCATGTGTAAGTTCCTCTGCAAGCCTGACATAGTTTCTCTAGGCTGGTGTGAACAGCCTTCTCGACGTCGCACGACAGACATACAAAGAAGCTAATACAGATGCCGCTGATCTGGTAGCAGAGCTAGCAGGTTAGTACATTGGGTCCGAAGCTGCTCATAGCTAATTTAGACAGAAACGCACAGTATAGCCCTTGACCTGAAGTTCGACAGAGCTCGCCAATACTACATTAGTCTCCCAGCTGCAGCTCTCGAATCCTTGCCAGACGTCTTCATCAACGTCTATCGCAAAAAGAACCGTATAGAGTGTCAGACACTAGACCTCGTCAAGCTCAATCAGAAGATCACAGATGCCCACAATGAAGTCATCAACATGAGCGACGAAACCGTGCAGGAACTGATCCACGACATTTGCTCAGAGATCTCAGGACTCTTCAAAGTAAGCGAAGCCATCGCCATGCTTGACATGCTAGCAGCACTTGCCCAATCAGCAACATCGCACGACTACATCCGGCCTGAACTGACAGACACTCTCGCAATTAAATCCGGACGTCACCCGATCCGCGAGAAGATACACACCAAGAAATTCATCCCCAATGATGCCTACGCAACGCAACAGTCCCGCTTCCAGATCATCACAGGCTGCAACATGAGCGGGAAATCCACCTACATCCGCGCCCTAGCGCTGATGACCGTAATGGCACAAATAGGCTGTTTCATCCCAGCAGAATACGCTTCATTCCCCATCGTCCACCAACTATTCGCACGAGTCTCCACATCCGACGACCTCGAAGCAAACGTGTCTACCTTCGCCGCCGAAATGCGCGAAATGGCCTTCATCCTCCGCAATATCGAACCGCGCAGCATGGTCATCGTCGACGAACTAGGTCGCGGCACCAGCACGACAGACGGCCTCGCCATCGCCATCGCCATCGCAGAAGCCCTCGTAGAAAGCCACGCGTTAGTCTGGTTCGTGACCCATTTCCGGGATCTCGCACTGATAATGGGCGAGCGCAATGGCGTCGTGAGCCTCCATCTCGCAGCAGAAGTATCCCCCGATGCTTCGAAGATGACCATGCTCTATAAGATAGCCGAAGGCCCCGATACGAACCAATTTTACGGCCTCGCCCTAGCAAAGCTCGTAGATCTTCCCCCAGGTGTCCTCGAAACCGCTCAACAAGTATCAGAGAAACTCAACCAGCTCGCTAAACGCCGACACAGCAAGTCCAAAGCCCTGGCAGTGACTCGTAGACGGAATCTGATTCTCTCTCTAAAAGAACAACTCCTTCTAGTCCGCAACGGAACTATGGAAGGCGAGACCCTTCGGAAATGGTTGAAGCGACTGCAGGATGACTTCGCCTTGAGTATGGCTGCTATCGACGAGGCCGCGGCATGTGCCAGCGACGAAGATACACCGGTACCCGGGGAAGTGTATGAAAGCACTAGTTCTACCGGGAACCTGCTCTTCGATGATGAAGGACCCGAGGTCCATCATAGCTCCGAACTGGGAGAATCTCTGGCGCAAGATGCTGGAGATCAGCTCGTCATTTCTGAGCCAGAGGACCCGCTCAACGAATCCAGTTACTGTATATCACGACCATTCGCTCCTCCCTCTGATGTCCCTGAAGGGGATATATATGGACTTGCCGCGTCACGTTCTGAGCATGACGATGATAAATCTACAACTGACGAGCAGGATATCGCTTCCTCCATGGATAAAGACTCCTGACCGGCTCATTCCCATCAAACGAAGTATGACTCTAACAGTATTGTATTGCATTTGTTTTTTACATCCCCATATTTCCAACCCCAGACTTAAATGTACCTATCTCCACCCCCCCCCCCTACATCAACGGAAAGAAAGAAAAAAGAAGAAACCATCCCACTAGCTTTTATTTACCTCACGCGCAAGCAACTCTAGAAGTAAAAGACCATTTTCGCTCAAATACAAAGCTGAACAAGCAACGACATCATCAACGAACGTAGGACCCAGAACCGACGATGCATAGACACAAGCCCACATCATACGTGTAAGGCGAAAGAAGAGAAAATAAAAAGGAAAAAAGAAACAGTAGAGTGGTGTGGTATGCATCGTTATCATCATCCGAAGTGGAACAGAGTCTGCTTCCCCTTCTTGTTCTTGCCCTTCTTGCCACCGGCAGGGAACTCGGGGAAGTCATCCTCTGCATTGGACGAGCTAGCACCGGCGTCGTTCCGAGAAGCCCAGGCGTTCGCGGTTGGCTTGTTACGATCTTCCCAGCGGACGGTGCCGCGAGTCAGACCTGCCATGAGCACGTTAGGCTTGGGAGCAGCAGGGAGAGCAGGGAAGGCTTCGGAGCTGGTGGCGTTGACTGGGCGGGCCGGGGCGCGCGAGGCGGAGCGGGAAGAGGTAGCGCTGCTGAAGGCAGAAGTAGGAGCTGAGGGAGCTGCAGCGGCGGCGGCGCCCCAGGGGGTAGTGGCGGCGGGCTTGGAGGTTCGGGGGGTAGAGCGGGCGGTGGTTGAGGAGAGAGGAGGGAAGGGGTTGGCGGCGGAAGAGGTGGATGAAGAAGGCATGGCGCCGCTTCTGCCGACGTAGGAACGGGAAGACTGGGCTGTTGAGGATTTGAGGCGCAGGACACGCTTTCCGCCCGCTCCGCTGCCGTTCACGGTTCCTGGGGACATGCCAGGGAGCATACCGCCGGGGCCGGGCAGAGCCGGGTAGTCTTCATTGATGGCACGCCAGTCGTTCCAGGCTTTGAGGAGCGCGTTGCGCTTGCCTTCGTCTTCGTAAATCTCGGCGAGCTCTTTAATGAGTTTGCCCAGTTCGGTGCTGGAGGTATCGAAGAGTGAAAAGAAGGCGTCAATGAGTTCAGTGGCGGAAATGGAGGAGGTGCGGTAGCTGGAAACTCGGGCACGGAATTCCTTGAGCTTGTTCTGGTCGTTGCCTAGGAGGTTCGAGGCTCTTTCAACGACGGCTGCATGGCGGAGACGGCGGGCTTTCTCTTGAGGAGTAACGGAGGCCGAGTCTGCGCTGAGGTTGAGGTTCTCCATCTCGGCAACTGGAGTGGATGCGGGAGGGGTCTGGGTGGGTGTAGGACGAGCCGGAGCACGCACAGGCTGAGTGTCGTTGCGTGTTAGTTGGCCGCCGAAGCTGCGGGTCGAGACGGATTGGGCACTCTGGATGGCCATTTGGCGTTGATAAGCAACCTCGTCTCTTCTCAAGGGCTGAGCGCTGGAGACAGGCAAAGGCTCCGCGTTAGGATCGCGTCCACGACCAGCACCCCGACGCTGGCGCTGAGGTTGGTAAGGAGTTCTGTAATCAAAGGTTGACAAGTCAACGGTGCGAGCGTCACGTCTGGCGTCCTTAGAAAGGCCGTTGGGATGACACTCAAGTTGATGTGCCTTGAGATCCATCTGGGACTCGAAGACGACGAACTTCTTCTCGAGACACTCGCGGTCGAGACAGAGGAAGTGGTCTTTCTGGAAGTGGTCTTCGAGAGCGTTGTAGTCGATGTAGTACTGTTGTTGGCGGCCGCCGGAGCGACGGTCACAAATGTGGCATCTTTCGTGACGGTCACGACAATGGGCGTATAATTCGTCATCGCCATAAAACCGTTGCCGGCAGAAACCACACTCAGGATGACCTCTGAATCCACTCTGGTCTATGGCACCAGGCACGTCATCTCCATGCTTCTCGTGCTTGCGCAACTCTGCATTGGTGAAGAGCTCATGTTCGTGCGTGAACACTTTCTTGTTCCGTGTGCAAAGATCACTACAACATTGAAGTTAGTATGCGCCTACACAGCTCATCACATCTAACTGTAAGAGGAACTTACCACATCACCCTGCCATGCTTGCTTTTGACGTGACGATGAAGGTCAGGCCATCCCAAGCAAGCTACATCACAACCTCTATCCGGGCAATTGTACCGCAACAACAGTACTGTGTCTTCGAAGATATCGTTGTTCTCGTACTTGATCCCTAGGTTTTCGTCCATCTGCGAGAAATCGGAGTCCTTGAAATCCTCATAGCGCTTGGCATGGTCATCCGTGAAGATAACATAGTTGGATTCCGTCTAGTCCAAAGCGAATGTCAGCGCAAAGCCACGACCAAGACCAAAAACGATGACCAAACGAATCACATACTCGACAATGAGCACAAGCTTTATTCTTATACAAGGCCCTCAATCTCAGCGCACAAATATGACAAGTCCGGTGATTACACGGCGAGACCGAGGTGTGGTCGACCTTCGAAGCACAAATGAAGCAGACTTCGCCGTCATCGTCATCATCAGACTCTTCTGTCGTGACAGGCTGCTTTCCTTTGCCTTCTGACACTGTCGGAACATTCGCATCACCCTGTCCACCTTCAGCAGCAGCCTCCGACTTGTTCCCCGAGCGATTCTGCTTGTCCCGTCCTCCGCCGCCGCCTCCGCGACGGGGTCCCTGGCCCCTAGATCTTGCACCCCTTCCAGCGCCATCATGAGAATGGTGATGGTGACCATCGGTGTGTCCCGGTTGGCGAGCAGCTCCAAAGCCTCCTCCGCGGCCTCGTCGACGGCCGCCCCGGCCTTGGCCTTGCGCTCCGGGAGCTTGGGCGGGCTGGGATTCGGACATTGGAAACGTGGAAAGATTGAGGGGCGGTTACTCGGAGTGATCAGCGAGGGTGATGTTTGGAGGACAGTGCCCAGAATTTGCTCTCTTAGGAGGAGAAGCGCGTCGCGCTTTGGTGAGCCTGTGCGACCAGACAGCGAATTTCGGCGGAGGGGTGATAAGCCGGCGTTGCTGTGGAGGGACCAGCTTTCACGTTACGAGCGGCGGGCAAAAAAGTTGGATCGGCGGCATGCTTAGTGAGCATCGCTGTCCAGTTTCTCTCCCCGACTTATTTAATTTTATTAATTGCGTTGAGCCCGGTAGGGGGGGGCACATAGGTAATTAATTTACTGGTGAATTCGATCCAGTTACTGATATGACTCATTTTGACTCATTATCGCTCATGCAACTACAAGGCAGATCATATGTGTGGCTTAACCATGGGATGCATGCATATTACTAGCCTCTTCGGCTACAACTGTACTGGCTGCTCGTGCGATAACTGAGAATGTATCATGCAATGACGCGATGCGATGTATGTAGCCAAATCAATAAGCGAATACGATCTCTAGGTAGCAACATCCATCGCGCCTGTCCACAAGGCAGCACCAACTCCCGCTGGAGAGAAAAGCAGGTCAACACAAGGAAAGATAAGGCAATCATTCGCCAATGAGAGTAGCAACAAGTGCGAAAAAATATCAATATGAGAAGCAAATAATAAAGTCTTGGAGCAAAATGAAAGAGAGTTAGCGCCTGGGTTCCAAATGCTGTGTAGTAAGCAAAAGTCGGGGAATCGTTAAGGCAACGACTTGGTCGCTGCGATTGCCTTGTCCGGAAGGCAAGAGTTCGCGTCTAGATACCAAAGGTTATTCATCGGGACTATACAAGTTCTGGCTGAGGATTTTAGTCATCGTGAACATGTGTATGCGATCTTGCTTGAACACGGCACGCATCGCGTCGTCACAGCGAATTTGTCGCCGGTCATTGGGATCCTGAAGATCATGCTCGTGGATGTATTGCCAAAGCCGCTTCACTGTCTGCGGTCGCGAGAGCTGTTCGAATGTCAGTATGTCTTACCTAACCGGAAATGGGAATAGCAGCCATACCGTCACCTCGCCGTCCAACAAAGCCGAAAGCGCTGGGGAAAGATTCAGGGGTTTCTAGACAGCCGTCAGCACCAGTCACCTCCATTAGGAAGTGTTTGCAGCATACGTGAAACCCGCCAGATCTGTTGACCTTCTTTCCTGAGTCCGAGCCCGATTCCAGTTCCGAATCATCCTCAGCCTTCACTTTCTTGGACGTCTTCGCTTTGGTAGGCTGCTTCTTCTTCACGGGCTGGCTTCTGCGTGTACTGGCCCCGCGGGTTTGGCGCGCACGCATGTTTTCCTCGGCCTGGAGTTTGGCTGCGAACAAGGCATCCGCATCGATATCATTGTCGGGCTTCTTCTTCTTGATAGGAGGAGTCTTGCTTGAAGTGTCCGAGCGCTCTTCACTCTCCGCTTGGCGTTTCTGCGACATGGAAGATTGAGCCGGAGAGGACGGCTCCACAGGAGTCACCGAGTCGTGGTCTTTCCCATGGCCATTGGTGGAAGCAGATGTCGCTGGTGTCTCCGATGCGGTTTGAATGCCCTTCTGTGCCGCACAGACGTCGAAGCGCTCCATGATAAGCTGCTTGATGGCAAGCTGTATGAATAAAGTTAACATTAGCATTATATTTAAGGTCTACCGCGGTGAATCAATAGAGCAAAGAGCAATATGCGACAATAATAAAAGGTCGGGGCCGCAGACCTTATGCGGGGTAAGATCATAGCCGATCTCATCCTGAAGGCCGTTGCGAATGGTTTTCGAGGAAATGGTAGTCAAATCGCTTTTGGCCAGAATTGAATCAATGATCGGAATATATTGATCGCGGGCTTCTGGGGATACTATTGCATGGGAAAAAGAAAAAGCCATGATGTCAGTTGAGAGCGATCTCGGCGTGGAGCAATCGACCGGGAACATCAGACTTCCGAACTTACGCGACATGGTGGACCGGGTAGCTTTGCTTTGCAGCACCTCTGCAGGAAACGACACGACTGAATGGAATTTAATGTTGTCAATTGCTGACCGGACTCAATGTAAGAGTTCGGAAGGCTATCAGCAGCGGGATTCAGCTCAAGGTGGTCGTGCACTGAGGAGGACCGTCTAGATCTGGGCGTAGCGCTGGCGCTTAGGACCGGCGGGGCATAAGAGAGAGGAGGTACGGAAAGGCCCCAGGAGGAAGTAGGACAGGGAGAGAGAGATGGATCAGACAAAACAAAGGGGAGTAAACGAGGAGATCGTGACGGCCGGCCCACAACGACCAGCAGCTATCACCCGCAGCAGCAACGGAAAGCGGGACGATGCGTGAGGATCGCGAAATGTTATGGCTGGTCCAAGCCGATTGTACAAGTCGGTTACAGAGGACATAATCAGCCGGGCGAGAAGCTGGGGGCGGGTGGCTTAGATAAGCATCATCACGTGGTGGAGCTGGAGAAAGAATAGGCAGTTTACTAGTGGTATCGTGAGAAATGGTCATTTACCGTCACTTTACCGCACGGAAAGTGAAAGCAAGCAGAGACAATGGGGAGATGACTCAGCCCTGACTCAGCTGCCTTCGCACACAGAAGGCGCTTGTGGTTTGGGATTTGTTCTTTTGCCCTAAAATCAGCCAAATCGGGGTCGACCAGCAGAAAATCCAGAACAGCATCTTTCATCTTCAAGATCATACCCTCTCCACCCTCACCCCCCCATATCGCCGTTCGCTGCGACTGCAACCATGGCGCCCAGTTTTGACACCCTGTCTGAGCAGGATCTCCACGAAGAGGAGGAGGAGGAGGTTGACTTCTCCGGTGAGTGCGCCTCGCGTTGTTGTCCCATCATCCTCTTCTCACCCCGTTTTCCCCGTGCCCCTCGCCGCTGACTCCGCCCGATTTTCTCCATCCAGATCTCAAGGAGCAATATGAAGTGAAGCTTGAGGAGGGTTTGGACACATTTGTTGTGATCGATGGACTTCCGGTCGTCCCCGAGGAGAGCCGGCAAAAGCTCATCAAGTTCTTGTTGAGGAAGCTCAACACGGTCGGCCACACCTCGGAGGATGCCGTCTTCATGCCCATCAACGACAAGAACATGTCCGAAGGGTATGTTTCAACTTAGGAAATTCGATTGCGGTTGGGAAAGGTTGTGGAAACATTAACATGTCGTTTCAGTTTCGCCTTCGTTGAGTACGAGACCCCCGAACAGGCCGTCGCTGCCGTCAAGCAACTGCACGGTGTACCCCTCGATAAGAAGCACACTCTCGCCGTCAACAAGTTGATGGATATCGATCGTTATGGCCGGGAAGGACGCATCGACGAGGAATACAAGCCCCCCACCATCGAACCCTTCAAGGAGAAGGAGCACCTCCGCTCATGGCTGGGCGACGCCAACGCCCGTGACCAGTTCGCCCTTTACCGTGGCGACAAGGTCGGTGTGTTCTGGAACAACAAGAGCAACCCCCCGGAGAACGTCGTCGACCGCGCGCACTGGACTCAGCTTTTCGTCCAGTGGTCCCCCAAGGGTACCTACCTCGCCTCCGTCCACCCCCAGGGTGTCCAGCTTTGGGGTGGTCCCGCCTTCTCGAAGCAGAAGCAGTTCCCCCATCCTTTCGTTCAGCTGGTCGAATTCTCGCCCGGTGAGAGCTACCTGACCACCTGGTCTGCCCGCCCCATCCAGGTGGAGGAGGGCCACCCCGTCCTGACCTACGAGGAAGACGGAAAGAACATCATCATCTGGGATATCGTCACTGGCAAGCCTCTTCGTTCCTTCGTCTCTCACGATCTGACTGCCGGCCCTAGTGCTGAGGGCGAGCCCAAGAAGAAGGTCCAGTGGCCCGCTTTCAAGTGGTCCGCTGACGAGAAGTACGTCGCGAGAATGCTGCAGCACCAGTCGATCTCGATCTACGAGCTCCCCCGGATGAACTTGCTGGGCAAGACTTCCGTCAAGATTGATGGTGTTATGGACTTCGAGTGGTCCCCCGCCACCGTTGTCCGCGAGGGTGTCAAGCAGTACGAACAGCTGCTCTGCTTCTGGACTCCCGAAATCGGCAGCAACCCGGCCCGTGTCGCCTTGATGAGCGTTCCCTCGAAGGAGATCGTCCGTACGCGTAACCTCTTCAACGTGTCGGACGTCAAGCTGCACTGGCAGTCGCAAGGTACCTACGTCTGTGTCAAGGTTGACCGTCACTCCAAGTCCAAGAAGTCCATGGCCACCAACCTGGAGATTTTCCGTGTGCGCGAGAAGGGTGTCCCCGTCGAAGTCGTCGACAGTCTCAAGGATACCGTCATCAACTTTGCTTGGGAGCCCAACGGAGGACGTTTCGTCGCCATCACCACCGGCGAGGCCCCCAGCGGCACCGCCGTTCTCCCCAAGACCTCCGTCTGTTTCTTCGCCCCCGAAAAGAAGGGTGTCTCGGCCGGCAACTTCAAGGTTGTCCGCACCATTGAGAAGAAGACCAGCAACGCCATTTACTGGTCTCCCAAGGGACGTTTCGTCGTCGTCGCTACCGTTCACTCCCAGACCAACTTCGATATTGACTTCTGGGATATGGACTTTGAGGGTGAGAAGCCCGAGGGTGAGAAGGATCTGGCCGCCAACCTGCAATTAATGAAGACCGTTGAGCACTACGGTGTTACGGATATTGACTGGGATCCTACGGGTCGCTACGTTGTCAGCAGTGCTAGCGTGTGGACCCACTCGGTATGTTCTTTTTTCTTAGTATCTTGTCACGACTGCGTTACTGACATGTTTTATGTAGATGGAAAACGGCTACAACATTCACACCTTCGCCGGTCAGACCCTCGCCGAACACCCCACCGACAAGTTCAAGCAGTTCATCTGGCGCCCTCGTCCCCCCACTCTTCTCAGCAAGGAGGAGCAGAAGCAAGTGCGCAAGAACCTCCGCGAGTACTCGAAGGAGTTCGAGGAGGAGGACAAGTACGCTGTCGACATTGCCAACACAGCCGTTGTGGAGACGCGCAAGCGCGTGCTCAACGAGTGGACTGCCTGGATCCGGAGGGAGAAGGAGATGCTTGCGGAGGAGAAGGACGCCTACGGTGTGCCGGAAGACGTCGACTCTTCCAAGCAGGCCAAGGATGCCCCTGCTGTGTCGGAGGACCAAGGCGAGACAGTGGTGGAGGAGATTGTGGAAGAGATCATCGAGGAGAACGAGGAAGTCATTGGTTGATTGGGAAGCCAGCTTCGTATCTAATGTGTTCTATTCCATCCATTTCCTTTTCTTTTTCTTTTCCTTTTATCCTTATCTCGCATCTTGTCTGTCGATATCCTCGCCCTTTTTTCTTTACCTATCCTCTCTGAAGCCCTCACACTTCATCCTCTCTTCTTCCCTGTGAGACTTCATCTGTGATCCATTTGGATTGATTCCAGCGCGCGCGTGGGGGCGCCTGTGTCTGGAGCATTTCGAAAAAAAGTGAATAGAATCTGTGTTTGCATATTTCTTTCCCGAGCGTGAGGGGAAAACTTTGATGTGCGTGATGTTGGTAGCAATGAGAGATGACAGACAATGTTGACTACTGCAATCATTCAAGTTCAGTTTATACCACTTCATACTATCTCAACCAATCACCCAAGATCAAACTATCCAAAAGTCAACAACACCAACCACCACCCCAACACAACCCACCATAAACCCATTATACATTCAACCCTCTGAGCCCCATTCCCAGCGGACCCCGTATTATACGGCCCGGAATATGTACTCGACGGCTGCACATTAATCTTAAAGAACTCCTTATCCCCCAACTTCTTATTCCCCCCAATGATATTACCCCTAGGCGAGTATTCACAAACGACATACCACCCCTGCGGTCTCTCCGTTCCATTTATCCCACCACCACCTCCTCCCGCTTCACTTCTCTTCCCATTCCCATTATCATTATCATTATCATTAGTAGTATTAGTAGTATTATACCCACAATCAACAGCCGCACATCCCACCTCCCTCGTCTCCCTCCACACCAACTGCGTAAAATGTCCCGTCTCCTCCGTGAACCCCGTCGGCTCCTGGAAATTGCATTTCTGTACTTCGTCGCCCCAGGCGGCTACGGCGGACGAGACGTTGGGGTACCCGAAGGCGAGGTTTTCGCCGTACGGGCCGTTCTGTATGTGCATTATTCATTAGCTTTTTCCGTTCTTGGGTAGTAGTAGATATGATTTGGGGGGAGGAAGGGGGAAGAGTACTATACCGAATGCTGCCATTTACATTCCTGTGCCCAGTTCAGGGCGTATTGAGTTAATGTCGTGTTCCAGATTAGGTTGCTTGCGTTGTGGGCTTTGCGGTAGGTGTTGCTGACGTCTAGGATGGAGGATTGGAAGAGAGCTGGGGAGGTGTAGGAGGGAGGTTCTTGGGTGGTGGTGGTAGTGGTTTGTGGTGCTGTTGCTGTTGCGGTTGCGGTTGTTATGATGGTAACTATTACTGTTGCTTTTGGTTGTTGTTGTTGTTGGGCTGTGGTGAGAGTGATGAGGGCGCTTAGGAGGATTATGGTAGTTGTGGTGGTGAGTATCCTTGAGATTGTACGATGGAGCATGATGATGATGATCTCATATAATGTTATGCGAGTATAGAAAGCTTAGTATAGTATTTGAGAGAATATTTCTCATGACGGAAATGTAGATTGTATAAATGATGGATCGCAGTCAGTCAGCAATTGTCAGACTGAAACAATGCAGTGGTGAGTGGTGAGTGGTTGTGGTTGTGGCGCCAATGGCTTGGTTCCAGGTTGAAACACATTGCTTCTTCTTCTTCCCTTTGGCTCGGGGTGAACAGTTCTTTATGTCTCTCCTGGCTTATTATCGTCATTGCTTTGAGCTTATGGGCTGGATTCTGGCAGTGGGAAACTGATGTCAGGAATTAGCCGGATAGATTTAGAGTTTCTTGGAGATGCGATCCGTCGGGTGGGTAAAGTCGTTGTATGAATGATGCAACTGGTTGGTTATTAGTAATAACTTAATTGCCAAAGAGATTACTAGTACTGTGTAGTTTGTTGCAGTCTTCGTGGCTGGCTGGCTGGATTGGAATTGTTGTATGCTGGTCATGTCAGCTTTGATGTTGGGTAGATTTTGGATATACGGGTCTGGGTAGTAGTATCAATCTGTGGCTCTTTCCTCTGCTACTAATCATAAAATCCTCTGTCTATTCTCTAACCATGAAAATGGCAAAGCCCTGGGGTATTCGTAGCTCTATATACACCGTATAATCGTAATGCTGGACATATTCTTCACATAACGTTGCACCCAATTCCATACATGGCTCGTTCGACGTCTCGTTTCACTTGGTACCAATCCGCCCGTCGCTCGGCGAACTCGTATACTTCCTCCACTCGCCAAATCCCATTGAACCGGTCCGCATCGGCGATGATGGTGGCAAGCTCTTTGGCATCAGAGGGGTCGATCAAATAGATCTGCGATAGTTCCCGGAACGCCTTGAAGTAGAGGAGAAGGTCGTTGTTCCTGAACGTCTGGATGAATTTGAAGTAGTGATTCATATCGCTATAAGAAGTCAGCTTCGCCATTAATCTCAGAGACACATAAAATCCTACCTGATGAGCTTCAACGACCCCTCAGTGCTAATCCTCTGCCGCTTCAGGTGCTTGCATAGAGCAGCAAACAGGCGGAGCCCGACCTCTTGGTTGAAGACGTCCAGCATACTCTTGTCTGTGCTGCCAACCAACATCTGTGTATGAGAAGAGACCACATCCACCACGGCCGCTGCAGCCTCGGTGATACTGACGTCCATCGTTTTACGATAGGGGTCAGTAGAGACACTAGGATTGAAGTCGGTCGCCAATTGTCTCGTTGCTAGAATGTAGTCCACTTCTTCCATAAGAACGTCGATTCCTTTGTTAAGACCAGCAGCGACCCGTTCATCCAGGCTCTGCTCGAACTTTTTCTTTTCCTTGACGGCCGGGTCAAGGAAATCATTGCGGTCCGTCAGTTTGGTGCCGATGAGTTCCTGTTCGTAAAAGACATCGATCATCTGGAGAATCAGATCACCAACGTTCACCAGCTCCAGAAAGGTGACCAGCGGCTCAACGCCAGATTGGTCGCGTTCTCCTTGTTCGCGCGGCCTGTAGTTTGACAAGTGGTCCACGGCCTTATTAAACCCACCGATCAAGTGACGGTTTCCTAGAATGCGCACGAGGGCGACGAAGACCGCTTCGCACTGTTGTTTTGCAGCAGCTCCATATTCGCCTTTGATCTTTACAAACTGCGCGGCTCGCTCCAAGCTTGACTTTGCCGCATGAACCAGACTAAGAGCAACTTCTATGCTGAAAAGAGATCGAATACCCTCAAGTTTAGACTTCATGATCGCGGCTTTTGCCGCAAGCTCTGTGGTCGGCGCCTCCATAATAGGAGGCGTCGTGGGCGACGCGATGGTTGAAAACCGATTGGGACTCTTCAGTGACGAGGAGTCGCTGGCGGTGGGCTCCGATGGTGCCTTTTGCTCGTTCGCCTTGTTTCCTGAAAAGCTTGGAAGAATATTGACGGGAGCCATAATAACCTTCTTGAAAGAGGTTAAGAAGTCACGCTTATCAGCCTGCCTATTGATGTTCGACATCAAGAATGACTCCGTCGAGGCTGCCTGCTCCGATAGCTGTCTATCCCAGTCCCCCACGGCCGCCTCAGATAATTTCCGGAAATGATCCAATTCCTCTGCGAGATATAAGTCCATGTGAGGTACATAGGCTTTAGCAATGACATGATCCATGAATTCATCAAAACTGTCGTCCAAATTCTGAACTGGCAACAATGTGTCCGAGAGATTAAGGCATTGAGCAAATGTTCCCGAGACGGCAGTCAAGTAGGACTCGGTATTTGAGCCATGTAGCTCATCAAAAATGGCAGTCAGGAATGGGTAGAGCACATCCTGCCCAACCTTTTCGATAAACGGTGTCGATATTTTCATCGACGGGGGGAAAGCACGATTGATGATCGATACTTCCTCGTTATAGGCCACACTCAGCCGAGTGAAGAAGGCCTGTGTATGTTCAAGTTTAACCCGTTGCGAGAAAGGATCAATGCAGTCCGAGACTTTGCCGAGATCTGATTTTCTGGTAACGAGATGGTTGTGCTGTATGAAGAGTTCTACAGCTGCCTCTCCGCCGTTCAACGTGTACAAAACGTGGGCATATTTTCGCATCCTGTCATCAATATCCTCTGTCTCGTATCCATGTCTAAACTCTTTTATGGCCGATATTTCGAACATCGACACAGCAGACTGCAATTGTTCAAGCCGTCCACGCCAGCCTTCGTCTGCATCGCATTCGGAGAAGGATTGTAGTTGCGACAGTATCTGCGCTTGGTGCTGTGGATCGGTGTAGTTCTTGAAAAGCAAGCTATCCGGAGAAGGGCCGTTCGTAACGATGTCATTGTAGTATGGTGCCAGCGCTGCATGTACCTTTCCGTACTCCTGGCGTGCGTCTCCACGAACAGACTTGACTTGTTTCAGCGCGCCGATGACGGGATCACTATCTGATCCATCCGATATATCAGCATTGGCCGAAGTGGTTAGATTGATCTGGTCGAATCCGTCAGAGATCGATTGTAAATCGGCCCGGGAACTCCGTGAGACGTTGGGTGCAGGTTCGCCGTGCGGTGCTTGCGCATCCTCAACCTCTTGCTGCTCAACCGTTCGCACATCTGCAATAGTTCCGAACGTTTCTTCCGTATGCTTTCTTGCCTCCACCTCGTCCCAACAACCCATCCGTTTCAGTTTCTGCACCCATCGCGTGTCATCGTATGCCATCTCGCGCAGGAGTTTGGAAGACCGGGCTACTCGTATGAGATCGACAGGGGAAAGGTAATCAAGGATTGAGGACATGATCTCTGGTCATTGTTAGAATATTCTGCAGTGAATGCGATCCATCTCCCCGTTCGGTATTTATAGTTGAGACGTACCTGCTGGAAGAATGGCCCTGGAGATTTCTTCCATCGAGGCCATCTTGAGGGAAGCCAGAACATCCTTGCACGGCTTCACGCCGGCACCTGGCCCAGTCCTCGCTTTCTGCATCTTGTAATTTCACAGTCGGCATCGGGAGGGACGTCGAGTTAGTCCGTCAAAGGCTCCAGAAGCTCAGCGCGGACAAGCCGGTCAGGGTCCCAGCGTTCCCACCGACTAGCTCGCTCCGCGGGGCTGCCCCAATTAGTCGAACGTAAACCCGAGTAATCGAGCGACACCGGAATTGCTGGCAAAAATGGGGGATCATGAAACATCGGTTCGCATGGCGGAATCATAGCCCCTAAATCTGAGGAATGGAACAATCCACGGCGCCGAGCAATTGCGTCGGTTGGTTGTGGCAGTTCGTCACTGTGGGCGGAACACCCCAGAAATTCCACGGTTTGGATCGGCCGGCTGCTTACCTTTCCGCTGGTCTGCTCCGGAATTCCAACTCACCCCAGTAAGCAGTATCACCACCTGTTTCACAATATCCTAACAACGGTCCGAGTAGGTGCAACATGGTTAAGTTTTTTCGATGAACACCAAATTTTGAAACATCCGGTGGGTAGTCATGGTGATCCGTTCGCAAAATTTCCCCAGTATCTGCCAGTGGGGCGATATATATTAAAATCAGGACATCGACGAGAGTACTAGTTTTGCTCTCAGTAGGACTCAGGTGGTATTTCCCTGCGTCGAAATCATCAAGTTCCAACAACCCAGGAAAACAAGGCATTAATACTAATAATACCAATTAACGCTTCCATACGAACTTTACTAGTACCATCAACTTAGGTATCAGAATTATATCGGCTCATTGAGCCAAACAATCTCCCCTCCTTTTAGATACTAGTTGATATCAATGTCACCATATTATTCTGACGAGCGTCTTGCAATCGACCATCTACTTCAATAATACGTAGTGGGCTGACTTTGCATATATGCTTATTTTACATGTTTGATGCACCCCAGAAGACCTAGAACAGACCAACAATCTAGGATGTTAGGGTGAGTTGGATGCCACAGATGTGAACCAAGTTATCGGTATTGAAGCGTCACAGTACCCAGTATGAGATTACCTCTCAGACCGACCACAGATGTTCACTTTACGTTCCTCATTCTCTCTTCTCTGAATTGTCTCCCCTCCCAAACCCACAAGCAGAATGGACGTGAGCGTCAATAGTTGCGTTCCAAACCCAGTGGAAGAGTCTCAACGCCCCATATTGCATATTGAGGCTCGAGTGAAATGTGCTAGTGATGGCATGATCGTTCGCACTGATCTGGTAGGCTGCTTGATACACTTGCGATTCATACATTGACGGAACAGCAGGTTAGGGATGAGGTTACAGAATGGCTTCACAACAATTTCATCGTGATGTCTGTTGATCAATTTATCAATTCTTTCGGTCAGGAATCTACCAAGACGATAACACCCCGAACGTCTTTCTGACGATGAATAGGAGGTCTAAGCGAACCACATGCTCAAGCCCTGGAGTTTATACTCGTGACCGAATGTAGCGGCGGCAATCTGGAGTCCGGTGCATATCGACTTCAGGATGTCCAACTGGACGTTCAGGTGTACCAACTGCGTACAAAATCGGAGCGACAAAGCTTGCAGAAGACCAGTGCACTTGAGGATTCAGCAGAAGCCGGGGGTGGAGTCGCTACGGCAAGAGTACTGGCCTTACCGAGCATAGATCTGGAGGGATTATGGGAGACGTACGCTGACCTGCTAATTCTTCCAACGCTGAAAGTAACTGATCATTTGCATAGGTTGGATTACGATCAACCAATTCAGTCGACGCTTCTTTCGGCTATAAGTAGAATGGGTGATGCCTTCCATTACAACTTGCATCTTATGGCTTACTCTAACTTGAGCAGTCTCGTTTTCTGCCCATAAACTCGATAAGTGGACTATCAATTGGAACAAGTTGATACTCATATGGGGGCCACCAGGAACTGGGAAGACAAGCCTTTGGTTTGTGGAAGTGTTACATAGAGTGTGGTCAGTGGCTAACTGATTTAGTCGCGGTCTTGCCCAGAAGCTTGCAATACGCCTGGGAACGGATTATCCCCAGAGCAAGCTATTTGAGATCAACGCATACTCTTTAGGAAGCAAGTATTTCGGCGAGAGTAGCAAACTTGTGAATGGAATGTTTGAGAACATTGAGACAATTCTCCAGGAGGAAGAAGATACATTCGTTTGTTTGTTCATGGATGAGATAGAGACCTTGGTTGCTCGGAGAGACCGGGCACTGAGCAGCAATGAGCCCTTTGACGCAATTCGAGCAGTCGATGCGGTACTCACAGGGCTGGATAAGCTGAAAGAACATTCGAATGTTATCGTTGTCTGCACCAGCAATTTGATTACGGCGCTGGTAAGCTCCTATTCAGCGCCGAGTGCTATGCATTAACGCTAACGGTGCACTCGCGTGTAGGACCAAGCTTTCCTCGATCGAGTTGATATCAAACAATACATACCGCAACTATCTAGCAGACCTATATATAATATCTACAAGGACTGCCTAGAGGAGTTGAGCCAGAGTGGACTCATTGGGGGTGTTTCATTCGACGTGGTCCAAGTTACTCCGGACGATCCCCAGACGGCTTTGCAGTATGTGGAGCAGGCTGCGGAACACCTCACCCTCCCGACTTTTGACGAAGTGCTGCTGCACTATAGATCTTTCCCCGATGCTATACCCACGCTACTTGCTAATGCTGTCTTTGAAAGTGAGGTTAGTGATTCTGGACGAAGATGAGCATTCGGTATATCTGTTGGAGTATTGACGATGGCGATTAGGGGCTTAGCGGTCGCACGGTTCGAAGACTACCCGCTCTATCGTTGATTCTTTATAGTAACGGTACCCGATGCGATATTCGGACAGCAGTTGAGGCGCTGCGTATGGGAATAGCGTCGGAATGGCAGGCTAAGACGGAGGCGACGATGACTATGGCGGAAGAGCAGCTCTCGGGAACAACATAAGCCAATGGCCAATGAGAGCGATGGGATTGATGGGGGAGTGTGTGTGCTGGGGTCAGCGCGGAGGAACGGAACGGGGGTGTGAGGAGCTGGGAGGCTAATGACGAAGCGATGGAATTGTTTGATATGCGTATGTAATTGAAGCTCGGAATGCATTCTCGTAGAACATCACCCATCATGTTATTGCGAGAACGGGGCGATGGTGTTGGTGGTCAGCAATTATCAGGTGGCCGCCGAAAATTGTTGTTCCGAAAAGTCGCGGTTTTCACCGAAGGCAGTTAGGACCGGGGCGGCAGCCAATCAGAACGAGGGTTTAGGCAATTCCAAACCCAAGAGAAACTTGACCCGTTCGACCAACCTCGACTTCACCTCCAAAAGCACATTCTCCTGTGCGCTCAGCCTTGTCCCCTCCCCCTCCCCTCTCCCCTTCTTTGGCTATCGTGCCTTCTTAAATACCCCATTGTCCGGAGGGTCTTTCACATCGTCAGTATGCTGGCACGTACTGTTTTGCGCAGCGTGCCCTTCCGGGGCGTCGCACGCCAGTCCTTGAACAAGACCTCCACGGTACGAACTTCCCCGACATCGACCGTCCATTGAACCCAATGGACGAGGACAATCGCTTCTCTATCGCACAGGAAAGCTTCTGTATGGGTTTTTGACTAACGAATCACCCAGCGTGCGTCTTCCTCCGCCGCCGGTGCCGAATCCGCCAGCTCCCCCTTCCACCTCACACTCACTGCGTCCGCCGCAACCGCCGTCGCTCTCGGATCCGCCGCGTATCTCTATGGCCAGGAGGCTTTTGCCATGACACCTGCTGAGGAGGGGTGAGTGGATTATCGGTGATGCTCGAGGGAATGGTCAACGCATTGCTGGCTGCTCCGTTGCTCCGACCGAGGCATCATCTTCCCGATTCCGACTGTTTGACATCAAGACTGACGCACATCGAAATCAAGATTGCACCCTACCGCTTACCCTTGGGAGCACGCCAAGTGGAACAAGACCTTCGATCACCAGGCGTGAGTCTTCCAATTGCGAGCGAATAATACCCTCGCCATCTCTCCCCGATACCGGCCATCTTACTCATGTTTTGCACTCCAGCCTCCGTCGTGGTTTCCAGGTCTACCGTGAAGTCTGTGCCAGTTGCCACTCCCTGACCCGTGTGCCTTGGCGCTCGTTCGTCGGTGTCATGCACACCGTCGATGAGATGAAGGCCATGGCCGAGGAGAACGAGTACGACACCGAGCCCAACGACCAGGGCGAGATCGAGAAGCGTCCCGGAAAGCTGTCCGACTACATCCCTGCTCCCTACAAGAACGAGGAGGCTGCTCGTGCTGCCAACGGTGGTGCTCTGCCCCCGGATCTCAGCTTGATCGTCAAGGGCCGTCACGGTGGCTGCAACTACATCTTCAGTCTGCTGACTGGTTACCCCGATGAGCCCCCGGCTGGTGCCACCGTCGGTGCTGGCATGAACTTCAACCCCTACTTCCCCGGTACCGGTATGTCACCATTTGCAGTTTACACCTGACAATTGATTCGCCTATGCTCAGTTCTAATTCTAACGATATCTAGCCATTGCCATGGGTCGTGTTCTTTTCGATGGTGTTGTTGAGTACGAGGATGGCACCCCCGCCACTACCTCCCAGATGGCCAAGGACGTTGTCGAGTTCCTCAACTGGGCTGCCGAGCCTGAGATGGACGACCGCAAGAAGATGGGTGTCAAGGCTATCACCCTCTTGACCGGTCTCTTCGCCATCAGCGTCTGGGTTAAGCGTTACAAGTGGTCCCCGATCAAGACGAGAAAGATTGTGTACAGCCCCCCCGTTTCCCGGCGCTGAATGTTGCAGCGGACTGTATGAATTGCACACCGTGGAGGAAAAATACAGGCGGCCAGTGAGCCTTGATATAATCCATCGTCCAACAAGTTATGTTGGTCCCACGTCGCCATTTCCTTCAACCTGTCACTCTATTCGATGGTCTCTGCATGTTTCGTTAGATGTTACTCAGGACACTTGTATCTGTACCCTAGATATTTATTCTCCGTTGAAAATGTTGCTTCAAGATCCAATGTCACAATTTCCTTTGTTAGCTATTACACATGTTGTATGGGCTTTGGTATACAATAGCCGTTCTGTCTTTCACTATGGGAAGGCTTAATAGAATGCCTCAATGTATTTATTTGGTTGTATTTGCATTATTAAAAACCAGTCTTTTTATTATACAATCACCAGTGAGGATAGCGTCATCACCTGAATACTTTTATCTAGATCGGACAAAAGATTATTACCGCGCAGTACCATCATCAATTGTCCTTTCCCCATCCCCGAAGACACCCCGAAACACATTATCGTACGACTGCCACATGGCAAAAAAGACAGCATCCGCCAATCTAACCAGCCAAGGGGGACTGCGTCCATCAGAGCCCGCAGAAATCCTCTGCAAAAGCAAGACCAGAAGTACCGGCGTCATCCATACACCCGCAAACAGCACCTTGCCCACCTTCTGCCGCAGGGTAGTTATACGATAAGGCTGAATCCCTGCAAGATATGTCCTGTACGCAACGGGAAAGTCATGCTCAGCGGCGCCCATGCTGATCAGGTTGAGATAGCGAGCCGAAGGCTGGGCGTAGAATGGGTTCGGGCGGATGAGAGGGCTAAAGCGCGAGACGAAACCGCATTGTTTCCGGCTCGTGAGAGCTTGGTCTTGTGTAGTAGCTTCCAGTAAGTCCTCGGCAACGGCAGGGGATAGAAGCGTGTGGGCTTTGAAGGGCTTCGTGCTTGGACGCTCAGGGAGAGGGTCTGTGGGGTTGTAGGCCTTCGGGAAGGGGTAGCAGTCGACGACTTTGTCTTCGTATCCGCGTCCTCCGCCCTCTGTTGCGATTATCCGGGCGTAGTCTGTGAGGGTGACCTCGTAGACGACGCCGACGAGGGGCATGCTGGGGTTATAGTCGGGGTCGTCCTTATGGAGACGCGAGGCCTCCTCCGTTGTAGCGTTCCCGTCTAAAGCATTGTCTTTTTCTTGGGCTGGGGGTTTTCGAAGTCGAGTTGCTGCAAAACAGGGCTCAAGGTATGGTATGCCTGGGAGATCGAAGGTGAGCCATAGATCTGGAACGACGACGTTGATTTGAGAGAGCGGCTTGATGCCTCGTCTTCCCAGGAATGTCTCCGAGCATAGGTTCGAGCCGTAGGCAAGGTATAGAACGGTTTCGTCAGGTGGTGGGTTCCCGTCTCCGATCTCCTCGAAATGATGGGTAGTAACCTTGTCCGCAAGGTCGGCGTCCTTCTCGAGAGACCGATCTGTTGTCGACACTTGCCGCCTCTCGGGGGTTGTTTCAGGCAGAAAATGGCCGGTATCCTGTTGGGAGGGGTGTGAGTGACCGGTCAAAGGGCTGATTTCTCCGAGTCGCTCGTATGTTTCGATCATGCTCGAGCGGCGTGTGCGAGGGATGGAGTGGCCTCCTTCTTCGTCTCTATTGACTGTTGCCATCTTTCTAGATAGGTCAAGCTGGTCCACTTGGTCAATAAATCTTGCCAAAATAGTTCCTGTCCGTTAGTCAACCAGGGTGACAAAGGTATGAGCAAATGTATATGTCCATTATAAATAGTGACTCCGTGCTTTGTTCCACGGCTGTCATGCAGACACCACGGCTCCCAGCGGAAACGCATAACAAGCATTCCGGTCGTCTTCCCTAACTGGAGCGGAGCCGGAGTAGCCTCGGGACGGATACTCCAGCAGCCGGCTTACCAATATCCACTAATTCCAGGGAATTCCCGTCCATTACCATCCAATATGTTCGACGGTGAACCTGAGGGCTTCCCAAAGACCCGGGGGGATGTGATATTGATATACTTCCCAGTGGAATTATTGTGCTTGCTAGCGCACTATCGCGCGATATCTAGCTAATCAAGTTAGGGACTGATTGGGGCCCTGCGGAAGCGAAGCGGAGCTTATGCTGGTTGTCCATCGTCGACTTCTTATCGTGAAATGCTTATTTTCATTCAACATTGTCTTGGAAAAGGGAGGTTTTCATTTCTTCTATCCAATGAAAGCGGCGAGTTGTACGCAAATGTTTCTGCTCAGTATTGCGATATAAAAGTATCGGTTCATTGTAGGATTTGACTTCGTCATTGTGAGCCAGAAGGCAAGGTGCGTACCACACATCGGAGCCTGCACATCATGGAATTCATACTGCTGGCCTTGATGAATGTTAACAATCTATAACTAGCACTTATATTAAGTAGAATGCATGGAGCTTACTGTCTGTGGCGTATAAAATAAGCACATGGATCGATTGAGACATAGGTCATGTTAAGGTATCTGACTTTCGCTTGCTCGCTTATATTGGAGTAGATAATTCGAGTCAATGGCCCTCTTGACAAGCATCGCTATTACTGTCAAATATTTGAATGCTGCGAACCAAATAGAGTAAATGGAGAACAGGCGTATTTGGTGACGACAAATGACTGAGGCTATTCTGGTCAAGTGCAAATACACCGTCATGTGATAAAGCCTCTTACAGTCTTTGAATACGTAGCTCCCATCAACTGCCACTTCAAGTCTATGACAATCCATGATAACTCGAATTCCAGAAAGCAAAATGGCTTCTTTGCTTGTTGATGCGTCTCAAGAAGAATCACAATGGGCTTGCATCTCAGAGCTAGCCTCGCAACTGGCCTCTGTGATGAATACTGGAGGTGATACTGAGAATAGTTTCCTGGTTTTGAAGCCTTATTATACTTGCCTTCTGCGTGATCCTCGACTTTATACATTCTCGGACCAGCTGATCCAGGCCCTGCTACATCATGTATCTAAGGTCGATAACTGCAACATACACCAACTACTGTCCATCCTGAAACGCCATTCAAAGCGAATACTTCAGGGGCTTGATCGCTCTTCGCTGCGTTGCCTGGCATATTTACTGCTCAATTCAGACGAGGAAACAAGATTGAAGAATGGACTTCATCTGCTGCTGGTCTGCTGGATACCTATACTTGCACGTCTTAGCTCTCTAATGCTTTCCATAGGATGAACCACAATACATGAAGGACTCGGGACATATGGTATACCAAGTAGCAAGCCCAAGAATTGGGGACAGATCCCGCTTGCTTCAAGAAAGAATATTGAGCAAACTATACTTACTATATTCCACCGAAGGGCAGGCTACTTGGCTACGGAAATTGGTGAGATAAAGACAATATGTGGTTATACCGATTCTCATGGTGAACAGGCCGGCAAATTGTTTCTGGAGATACTTTCGGAGCCAGAGCACAATCAAGCTTCCCTCATTACATCCCAAGATGTGGACATGTCACGGTATTATATGTTTATATGATGTGGGCGATATTGTTTGTGCTAACGCGAAGCGTTGACTAGACTCTCGTACATCATACTCAATGGCAACTGTGCCTTGAAACTGCTCGCAGCAATCATAATTCATGCGCTACATAACATGGGAGTGAGCGACGAAGTTCTCTGGCCGCCAGACAATAGCACGGATAGAGGCAGGTTCTTTGATACTATGCCGTCATATGAAGATGATCCGCTGCAGCACTTTCAAATCTTATTCGATACGGTTGTCCTATCAGATGCGGCAATGCCATCTAAATCGATAGACTTAAGTACGACGTCCCAGCTTCGACGATGCTTTCTCCTTTACGCAATAGGCATCGACACGACGCTCCTGATTGAAGGAATCGTTCTCGCCATGATCGGTGATGGATGCTTGACGTTCATGAGCTATCGACAGGACACAGCGAGAATGTGCCTAGAATACGTTGACGTCTACACTCAGAGCATTTGTCTACCAGTGCGCTCGGTTACGGACAAAACTAAGACATATCGTCTAATACTAGACCTGTCTCAGCATATACTAATCGTGAAAAGCGGCAAACGCCTATGCTTCGGGGGCCAAACTTTGAGCATATTGTCCGATGAAGATCCTTGCGACTTGCGAATGGCCATTGAGGAGTTCTGTCGGAATGACCGAACCTCTGTAGATACAGATAGTGTATTCCGGAGGTCTTCTTCAATGGTGATGGAACTGGATACAGGCGATGAAGTCGCAAGGAAATCTTCTGGAATTCCACCCAACAATATACAGGGGCAGGAGGGACCCTGCACAGGTTTCGTCTCGATACAAAAGCCTCAGCAAGTGCTGGAGAAACACTCAGAAGTGCCCGAGGAAGGCAATACTAATAATGAGAACCTGGCACATGTTCTTTCAAAGCGTAACAGCTCTCAGGATTATCAGCGGGCACATTACGCGGGTGAACCTCCCATGCCAACATCAAACCCATCACTGACCAGAGTACCGGAGAAACCAATCGGCAGATTTGCACCAAAACCAGATACTGAAAGAAGAAGAAGAACAGGTCGCTTGCGGAGTGGGAACAGAGGAAAAAACCATCTATCTAATACTCAAGAGTCTATGGTCATATATACGCGACATCCCAAACAGAAGGTATATACAGCCAGCTCCAAAGCTGCTGTTGACTGGGACGAGGATCTCCGACCTAGCGATAATGAAGCGAGACAACCTCTCAAAGACGCAGACATAACTTCAATTTCATCCCCCATGCCTGGTGAGACGTCTCTTACCGGCAGTCATCTGGCAATTCCGGGCAAAAAGAGAGCAGCCAAAGGAAGGAAACTAGCCACAAAGCGCAAGAATAAATCATCTCGTCCTACAAAAAAGATCGGAAACATTACCAATAAATCGACAGCAGCGTTACCACTTGCAGAAGATGCCGACAACCACAACCGAAAGTCACAACACATACTAGGATCAGGTGATGACATAAAGAAGCTGATACTTTGTTCCAGCAACGGCCGCTCTGAAAGCATTGACGAGGAGAGAAATGGAGCAGGTGCCACGGCCAAATGTGCCGAGCTCTACCCAGATAATGACTTCGTTAGATATGACTCTGCTACACCACAACAAGAAGAGAACCGCACTAGATCACCTCGAATTCAACCCTGCAGGAAAAATGAAAGATTCTTAAGCCACCAGCATCAGCTATCTACAAGTAAGATGGATGACAACGATCATCAGTTGAATTCTCCAGAGTGCCATCCGACCCCACAAGGACTCCAGGGCAGGGGCCGTGCAGTTGGGAACAAGCTGTCTGCAGCTTTTCAGCGAGGAGACCCTTCATCAGGCACCGGCGGACATAAAGAAAACAGCTTAGAGCATATTAAGACCCAAAACAAGCCGAGAAACGAAAACGGGCTCGTTTTGTCAGACATATCATATGCTTCCGTGGGAGAGAGTGGTGTACAGGAGAAATTCGAGTCCACGGAGTCTGTCATAAAAAGATATGCCATTTATGATAAGTTGCCCTTAAGTACACCAAAAGAGCAATTCACGGGCAGGTTTGAGGATGACATTTATGCAGAAGGTTCTGTCGCAAGGCACATGAGCAGGAGCAGTTCTTTCAATATCGACAACAAGGAGCAAAAAACGGTGTCTCAGTCAGCTGGCTCCGCTGTATCAAGTCCATTATGTGCAGAGGACGATCGTTCCGATGCAGAAATTCCCTCTGAAGTTTGCCCTGGAAGCCTCGGGGCCGCGCAGAATATTTGCAGTTCTGACATGCATGAAAACACCTCTGAAGGCATAAGAAGCCCGCAGGCTAGGCCAGAGAAGAGAAGGATAGCTGCGCTCAGTTCGGATGGCATGCGAGATGACCCACCTACAAGGGACCAAGCCTCGGAAAATGCTTTCAAGGAAGAATCCAGGCGGCTTGTTCGCAAAGATCACTTGTATCCCACGAAAAGATTGAAAGTCACCCCCAGATCAACCATCGTTGATTCTGATGGAAGCCCCCGCCTTCTGTTCCGTATTAGAAGTGGATGCATCGTTGACAGGACCGGCGTGGACGAAACGTATCCACAAGTGTCAGGCACGAAATACAGGTCCTCCACCAGGGAGCACGTTCGGGAGATCCTGAGAGATGGGGAATTTGGTGCACAAGATGACGATCTATCTGCTTCATGCGAGCGAAACGTAATTCTAGGATTAAAGCAGTCCGGGACCTGCACGAACAGAGAGAAGGAAGTACTGACTTTCCAGGATCGTCTAATGGCATGTGCAGGTAAACCTACATCAAGCAAGACCCCGCTTAGAAATCCCGCACGATCAAGTCCTGATGCACATTTGACATTGGGATGCGATGACAAGCCTCATGCGACATGCAACTCCCTACCTCGGGCGACAATAGTTCCAAACCAATTATCGGCGCAGCCAGGTTTGCCCAAGTCGGATAATATCGCAGATGGTGTCCTGGAGCACACCAGCTGGCAGACCTCCCTGCAGGCGCTTCACAAAAGAGCGCAAGGCATGCTTCTTGCGACCAGCGAGGTAGGTGACATCCCATGGGGATTCCAAATATTCTTACTGAGTTGGCCGCAAGCATATAATACAAGAAATTGAGAGCGAGAAAAAGACCATCAACGAAGTTTTGGAGATGTATCGGCGAGATTGCCACCGAGTGCTGGATCAGCTCTTCGAGGCCCAAGAAGAACGAATAAGACTGTGCCAGCAACAGATGCACTCCATTCGCGAACACCATACCGAAGTATGCCAGGAGTTGATGCAGCGTCTAGAGCGGGACGAGAAGCAGCTTCAGGATCGCATGCAGTTGAGAAAATGAACTGAAGCTTGGCCTCATCATTTCATCATCTCAGCTTTTGATGCTCCGACTTCAATGACGAGGTTTCCGGTCCGGGCTGATTCGGATCCGGATAGTATGCACATTAACTGAAGTTTGTCTCATCTTTGCTCGGGCGATGGCTCTGTACTTATTTCTTACAGCCACGGCTAGTCGTATCTGCATTGATTCGTATTCTGCAACACTCAAGGGGCGAAATTCAGATCCAGAGAGAGATTAGTGCCAACGTAGCGTCCGTGCCAGGATGATCCGAAACTATATACAAAGTTTCCGCCCCCATTGCAGGTCGTAATGGCAGCTCCAGGGGCGTCATCTATTGCTAAGGCTGACTGACCAGCCAACGCCGGACCATGCCCCGGACATGTGGTACGGGATAGCGGATGACGGACTACGGAGTATCCATTCATGCTGCTCCGAGCAGGAAGAGAAGGAATGAGAGACGAATGGCAAAGTAAGCCAATGGCAGGCGATACCGCGGGCGAGGCGCTTTTTTGGACCTCGCCCCATTCGTCCGCTCACCGGAAAATCACGTGTCGATTACCCAATGAGGCAGGAATGACTCGACACTGCCAAAGAAATAGTACTTTTTTTTTCTGGCTTTTGCTTTTTGAGAGACTCTGCAAGGAGACAATTCCAGTGATACTTCTCTCATACATCTTTCCTATATATTCGTTGAGATTCCACCCGGTTGCAATCTCGAATTTTCAAGATATCAATCAAATCTACTACTATTCTATTAAACTCTCATCGATCCACTGGACCGATCTTCCCTTTTGACTTACTCATCCATACCTCCCGTCGGGCATACTATCTACCTATCTAAGCTGCGACTTTATCGCCTCTCCTTCTCTCATCTGCCCCTCCGTCTGTCCACTTGCTACCCCGCCGCACCACCATGTCGGTACGTTTTTGCTTTTTCCAGCATTTCAACCTTCTCAATGGCAATATTAATACTCATACTACCTCCAGTTCTTCATTGAAAACCCTAATGTCGGGGACAGATGCTCCCTCGAGGATTCCAGAAGTAAGTGCGCCCGTGACTCACCTCTTGCAAATTTCCGTCCCTCGTTAACCCTCGGTCTCTCTGTTCCTCTACAGTCCGTGGATACAACCCTCTCACACCCCCCAACCTCCTTCAACATGAAATCGCCATGACGGAGAAGTCCCGGCAAACGGTCATGGAAGGTCGTGAGGAGGCTATTGCTGTCGTCCAAGGCACAGACACCGACCGTCGCCGTTTGCTGGTTGTCATCGGCCCTTGCTCCATCCACGACCCCGAAATGGCCCTCGAATACTGCGATCGCCTCATGAAGATGAAGGAGAAGTACCAGGACGAGCTGCTGATTGTCATGCGCTCCTACCTCGAGAAGCCCCGTACCACCGTTGGCTGGAAGGGTCTCATCAACGACCCCGACATTGACAACAGCTTCAAGATCAACAAGGGCCTGCGCACCTCCCGTCAACTCTTCGTCGACCTGACCAACAAGGGTATGCCCATCGCCAGTGAGATGTTGGATACCATCTCCCCCCAGTTCCTGGCCGACTGTCTCTCCGTCGGCGCCGTTGGTGCTCGCACCACCGAGTCCCAGGTCCACCGTGAGCTGGCTTCGGGTCTGTCCTTCCCCGTTGGTTTCAAGAATGGCACCGACGGCTCCCTGGACGTCGCTGTCGATGCTATCGGCTCCGTCAAGCACCCCCACCACTTCCTGTCCGTCACCAAGCCCGGTGTCGCTGCGATCGTCGGCACCGTGGGCAACCCCGACTGCTTCGTCATTCTCCGTGGTGGCAAGAAGGGCCCCAACTTCGATGCTCAGAGCATCGCCGAGGCCAAGGCCAAGCTGATCGCCAAGGGCATGCCTCCCCGCCTTATGGTCGACTGCAGCCACGGCAACTCTCAGAAGGACCACAAGAACCAGCCTAAGGTGGCTGCTGTTCTGGCCGAGCAGATTGCTGCTGGAGAGACCGCCATCATGGGTGTCATGATTGAGAGCAACATCAACGAGGGTATGCTCCACCCCCAATCCTTACACTTTGTACATTATCATCCAACTAACATCACCACAATAGGCAACCAGAAGGTCCCTCCCGAGGGCAAGGCCGGCCTCAAGTACGGTGTCAGTATCACTGACGCCTGCATCCACTGGGAAGACACGGAACTTGTTCTGGAGAACCTGGCACAGGCTGTGCGCACCCGCCGGGAGAAGCTTGCTGTCAATGGCAACGGCAACTCCCAATAAATCAGTCACCAGTTGGGACATGTCTCTTTTCTTCTCTTTCCTTTTTCTGCATTGCTGTTAACACTTGTTCCTATATGGGGTTCAACACGTTATGCTCAGCCATACCATTATTGTTCTCTCGACGCATGGGTTGATTAACGGATCGGATTTAATTCTTCTAGCGGTTGTTGACTTATTTATTTTTGCTTGTTTCTTGGATGAGATGAAAAAGTGATGTCTATTCCATGTTCTATCCTACTTCTTTCGGATTGTAGTACACGTTTTCCTTCAAAAGATTTCGGTGAAATTCCGTGGCTCATATTTTATGTACGGATAGTATCGTGGGGCTTTATATACTATAGGACAGATATCAGGCTTATGTCATTGGGTTACCTGAGAATGACCTGACAGCAGGTTTCAAGCATTGAAAATCTTCATGGCCCCTGGCCTGCGTGCCTTAGAGACATATACACTGTGATGACGACTATACGGCCATGGAATACGTTACGTGAGAGGACTGTATCAGCATGCGAGAGCATTGAGTAACCAAATTCAATAGTTGAATTGTACTCTATGGAGACCAGCCAAAATTTTGCGCAATAATGTCACGGGACTATGTCTACTTTCTATACTCGACTCACTGGTGCCACTTTGTAGAAAGAAATAGCCGGGTATAATTCTCATGAAAAAGACGCAGGAAACTGGTGCTGTCACATAGCCAGGTCCACGGGGAGCTTTTTAACGTGATACGGAAGTTTGCATGGTTCAGGAAGGCCCCGGGCTACGAGGTTCATTAATAGCAAATATAGACAAAGAGTGTCGGGATTCCTCCCTAGAGTACATAAATTGATAGTACATGCAAGCTATATTGGCATCAATGCGTCGAATGAAACCTCCTATAGGAAGGCTTCTGGTATCACTAAACGAGAGATAAGGAAGCCATTATGAACACAGATGAGTGACATCTAAATCTGATCGCGTGGAAATCGCAGCGCGTAAAAATTGACCGTCTCACCCCGAGGGTGTGAGACTATCAGGCGTATATGGCCATCTATGACATCAAAGGCATAGCATCGTAGATCATGGCGGGGAAAAGCAACTCATACAACAAGGGGGGGATTAGGAAGTAATACATATATATAGGCAGTGATAGTGATCGATCGATTGTGATATTGTGGATTCAGTCCACTTCGGCGCTTATGATGCAGTCTCAGACGGACTCATCGGCCGCGTTGTTTTCGGAATTGCGATGCTCCAGTTCTCCCTGGAGTTCCGGAACCATCGTACGTCCCGGAAGCCATGCATCGTGGAGAGGCAGGATCAGGCTTGGGTTGACATACTTCCTCAGCCGCAATCCAAGTTCTTGTCCACCGATGCGGATCGGAAAAGAATCGCGGTCGAGGCCGGATGGAGGAGAGAAGGTCGAGGACGGGGACGGGGAGATGTCCCCACCACCAGGCCGCTCGCGGTCAATGCTCTTTAGAGCGATGAACTTCATAAGAGGCTCGTAGGTCCGTGCAAAGAAGTAGCTGAACCATACGGTTGCCATCAGGAGAGGCACAATAAGCAAAGAGCGCGTAATAGCCCGGCGTAAGGCAAGCACGCCGATCATCGCGAGCTGGAAAACAATCAAGCCCATCAGAATTCGACTGCAGATCATCGGCCATGCGCGTCCCGTCGAATGCTGCTGATGATCCATCGCGTACAGAAGCTGGTACTTGTAGATAAACTTGCCGATGGTGAAATAAATCAACCCGAATAGGCATATCAACCATGAGCTAGGGAACACGCTGTATACAACACAGATGATAAGGCTCAGAACTGTCTGCGGAATGGAATACCCGTAACTGAATGTAGGGGGTGTGGATAACTCAGCATAATCCCGAGGTGTCTTAGCGGCCAGAAAGTTGATGGGATACATGGCAACACTTCCGAACTCTAGGAGTCGGAACGGGAACAATCCTATTCCTTGAAGACATAGGAAGTTAATGTAGAATGGAGCAAAGTTTTCCAGAGTCTTGGCCAAGGCAAAGGCTATGGTCGTAGCATCTTTAAAGGCGTCTCGCAGATTCTCCCAGAACCCGTAGAATGTCGTCGCAGTTCCGAACACCGTGAAGACAAGGAAGAGGTTGAAGAAAGAGAAGAAGAAGGTCTTCGATATGACTGACAGCTCAATGTCACCTCGCGACATCATGCCTTGCTGGTTCGAGAGCCCTGTGATCAGGTTAGCGCTGAGAGTAGACATGAAAAGACGTTGGGATATACCATACAGTTATACAAGTAAGGCACAGCGACAGTCAACAGCGAGAGGACCAAGGTCGGCAGACCAGTCTGCACAAGGGACTTGGCAAGTGGGTTCCGAGCAAGAGCGTCGGCCAATTGAGGGAACACCTTGTGGAGAGTCTCGTACTCAAGCAGATAGGCAACGGGAATCAAAAGCACCGACCAGAATACAGTCAGGAAGCCAATGACCACAGTGATGAACCAGGATTGCATCATCCGCCTCGAGCGCGGAAGGTAGGTGTTTTTCCACACGACATCAGCTGGTGCTGGTGCCAGTCTAGCGAGCAGTTGCATGGGGTGAGGATCAAGTATGGCTTGTACAACCATCTGAGACGCGGCAATCGACTCCATCGTGACGAAGGCGACCTCAGTAGGCGGATATTCCTTTTGGCGAGCAACCTGAATCTTCTCGTCGAGACGACGTAGCTTTTCTTCATAGTAATCGATCGCATCGATGTTCTTATAGCGTAGCTTGAAAGGCCCATACCAAATGCGCACTGTTGGCCGCTTGTGTGCATAGTCCGTAACATGATCGCGTCCTCCTTCAGAGAGAAGCTGGATTCGTTCACTTTCCCCATCTGAGACAATACTAGAGCCTCGCGGCTGCTGATGCATCAAGGTCAGTGCGTTCGGACTTGCCTTAACCCGTTTGTAGCCCAGGTGCCTAGTCCAAGCTCGCTCGAGATTTCGCAGAAGTTTCAGTCGCTCGTCGATCAGATGGTCTAATTCGCGCCAGTCCCGACACAGTGTGACACTCTCGACCTTACCCACTTTGAGGCCTTCCATGAAATCCTTGATCTTCTCCTCGGTCCCCAAATCCGGAGGGATCCCAGACAAGCGAATAGTCCGATCGGTCGTACTGGTCTGGCTTCCAAGGTATTTTTGCCTCGTGCGGATAACCTTATTGGTCTCTTGGATGAGCATGTAGACAGCAAGCCCAGTGAAAATGTATGTAAAAATGACATACATCCACAAGTAGTTCGGATCTGATATGATCTTCTTCTTGTCTTTGTCTCCATCGAATGTCTCGTCATCATCGTCATCCCAACCCGGAACCCCCGATTTACCGGTATTCTTGTAGTGTGTCGGTAGAATAATAACCAAGGCGAAGAAGAATATAGCGGAGAGGAATCGAATGGCGAATTTCAGGAAAGTGAGGAACTATGATAACAACTCCGTGTCAGACAAGAACGATTCTGACATCTAGCTCGTAGTCGAGGCGAAAGACAGAACTTACAACGAAAGCATCCAAGCCTGCAGACTCCAGCACCTGCTCATCAGTGATCCGATATAGTACAGGTATCCAGCCAAAGAAACTATCGGGTAGTTCGGGCAAGTATGAAGCTGCGCAGCGTTGTCGTCGCCGAGCGGCGTATAGTTCGGTCCATTTCGGTCGTAGAACCTATAAGAGACGCGAGCTGTTAGAGGAATTCCATTCATTCTTGCGTTCCGCAAAGACTTACACAGAAGGAGAAAAAGGCGCTGAGCCCGACGAGTAAACTGATCACTAGTTGTGTGTACAAATCGCGGCCCCTCGTCTGGTCATCCCAACGAGGCTCATGCACGTCAATGGGACTGTCTACCACGACCGCGGCGGTCAGCATGGCTGCCGCGGCGGATTCCGTGAGAGACATGACGCTCCAAAAGCAGATGTTCTGCGCCGGGGATGTAGTGGATGATGTTCAGCTTTGTTAATGCATTCGGAAACGTTTGTGCTCGGGAGGATGCGTAGGTCAAAAACAACTGACGTCAGGGGCCTGGGTCACGCTTTAGATTGTAGACGGACTCGCGACCTGGAGGATGTTGCTTGGACGCGAAAAACAGAACTGGAGAAGTCAGGCGACACCGATACAAACACTCTACACCGCAATCTTCGCGCTAGGAACGGCAAATTGGACCCGAGTCGGGCATCGTTTGCTAAAACATATGTTGACGAACCCAAACTCAAAAGTACTAGTCTCGTCTCGTTCTAGTTGGCGATGAGTTGTGCACGTGGCTTATTCAGCGACCGTTTTTTATGCCGCTTGCCGCTTGCCGCAACTACAGACGGCCCGGTGTCATACGATTCAAGGATCAGGCCAGCACAATCAAGCTATTTCTATTCTCTAAGATTCCACCAACATGTACTCCGAACTCATGATCAGGCTGACTAGTGCCAGATGGAAACGATATGGACAATACATTATCTAGTTCTGTGAATGCCGTGATGCATCATAATACAAGTCAAGCAGACATCCAGCTGACCATGCTTGGGTCGGGGACTATAAAAATATAAGGTTAGCCAAGATTGATCGGCACGACAGAGAATTGAATAGAGAGCAGAGAAAGGTATTCAAGACATACGGAGTCTGCACAGTGTGCACCATTCTTATTTGTTAGTTCGGTAAGGCCCTTCCATGGACTTTCCCTCAAAGCCCGTTTGCAACCCTCCAGACGTCGAGTAATCTGTTGGTAAGTCTCTGTCCGTTCTGCCGGCGTCGTCCTGCGAGCAAGGTCGAAATGCAAAAAGGCGCGGAGGAAGTACCCACGCTGCCAAACCCACTCAGGACCTTGGTGGTAATTTCTGCCTTTGGCAGTTGCAAAGTCGGTCGAGTCCTCCGAGTTATTGTAGTTAGGGCGGTAATTGAGATCGGAAGGGTCAAGGGTGGCCATTCCTACCGGCCCTACCAGAACCTCGTCGGCAAGAGCGAGAGCTGCGAGTGCTTTGGATGAAGTGAACAGGTCTGGAGCGACGGTCA